TTGTTACCGTTCTGTGCCCATCATCCGCTATTTCCAGCACTTAATCAAGCCACTCTTCTTTAATACATGATGACGATTTATTCCACATGTCATTGCGTTTGCGTTGGCTCTCGATTTGAGCTATTTCGTCCTCAACCATTAAAATATCCGGTTTCTACAGCGACTCATTTGGCGCACAACATTCTCTTTCTATGAAACTTGTAAACCGCATTCACCGGTTCTAACTCTATAGCGATATCAACTCTATAGCGGTTTACCCGAGCATTGCAATTAATTCGCTTTCGCAAATGGCTTTCCCAACTCATGTATGTGTGTGCGCGCCACATTATAGCTTATGCCGAGTTCACACTGCACGATTTTAGACCGATTTTTCTTTAATAATTACAGTCTCGCTCGAGAACTCCGGTCTGACGCACGCGGGTTCTCGCGTTATTTCCTTATCACTTCTCGCGTGTGTTTTGTTGTGAAACGTAGTTTGCGGACCAGACAGAGCTGTCGGCGATTCTTCCTATTGTGAAGTCATGCAGTGTGAAACCCCCTGTCGCCGATCCATCGTGCAATGTGAACACAGCAGCGACTGAATGCTACCCCAGATAGTCACGCAGTGTGAAAACCACGGCGATCCGACGAGTTTGAAAACCGTGCAGTGTGAACTCGGCATTAGAGGGAACATTGGCTGTGGGTCACAGCTGGGACGGGTGTAGGAGGTGCTACTGCTACCTTGCACAAACACTGATCCAAAGAGCGTGTTCTATTAGCATAGCTGTGGAGGCGTATAGATGTTTATATTAATATGCTATATTCTCATGATAGGTATAGATCCTTTTATACTTATAGACTGACAAATAAAATTGGTGTAGAAACAATTTTCCCTCAGAAATTGCTTGCAAATTTCACAAATAATTACAATGAATTGGCAAGTAACACACTGAATTAAAAATGGAAAAAAATATTTTCTTGTAAAACATGCATGTCTGTTTTATTTACAACTTAGAACAATCTTTTTTTTTTTTGTGTGTGTGTACATATATATACACACTCTCTCACACACACACACACACATATATATATATATATATATAGCTGTGATTAATCAATAATTAAAATAGTTTTTTTTTCCTTTTATTATATATTTAATATAAGTGAATATCTGTAGTTTTTGACATGACACATGCATTTTGTTTTACTTTATAAACAGTATTTCAAAAGGAACAATACCACAATGATACACTTTCATCAAGTGTAAACGCAGAGCTATAATCGTACGTGATGACAGGTATTATGAAAATAACTTTGCCCAGACAACAAACGCAGACTAAGCGCAGTCTATTTACATGAAGCGTATTGCTGCATAGGATGCCGAGAGACGTCTTTTATTCATAGCTCACAGATATCATAACAACAACCCACACACCCCATATATTAATGTATCAAATGCTTGCCTAAAAACGCACTAGGGCACTTTTCATCAAATATCGCAAATACATCCAAATGCTCAAAACAACGTGGAAAAGAGGGAGAGCGGAAAAAGTAAATGCCGGAGCGGAGGGAAATAGAGAGAGGTTGCCGTCAAAGCAGTAATTTGCATCATTTTACACATTACATTCACCTCTGTGTATGAGACGCAGCCAAACAGTGGCCAGCCCTGTCTTACATATTCAGATTCGTTGCCTCAATTAAGTGAACCTCATTGCAAGATGAACTGGCATAAATGTTTATGGAAATGGAATATTAGATCGGAGGGTCAGTGCATTCACAGCTCTCTATGATAATGGTGTCTTGAAATCAGACTCGTCACTGTCTGAAGTGGCCCAGCTGACAGAGCATTCCCATGGCAAGCAAGTTATATAAAAGAATAGCCATATTTACCCACCCAAACATGTATTTATTATTGAGCTCATCATGACTAAAGGGGGGGAAAAGCCCTCAAATTTTGCTTTAGCGTTCACTGCTGGGAAAGAGAAAGGCCTCCTGTATTTTCAGATTTCAATTTGAAAGGGAGATGGAAAATTGGACACAAGATGTTTGTTTGTTAGTTTATTCATTTTTGCTGACAGTTTAGTATTTAATTTTCATGAATCCCATAAAGCATTTTTAAGCATAACCCATCAGTGCAATCATTATTCAAATAACGTCATTTATGTCAAACTTTCAACGGCAATTCCTATAGTGTCAGTTTATATACTAGGACATGACAAAATTCCTGTTAAATAAAACATTGGTAATGTTACAAAATATATATATTTTTTTTTTCAAATATATTATTTAGAATATTATATTCATCAAAGAAGTCAGGAAAATGTGTCATGGTTTCTACAAAAATATGAAAGAAGAAGAGATGTTTCTTAAAGGGATAGTTCACCCAAAAGGGCATCCAAGATGTAGGTGACTTTGTTTCTTCAGTAGAACAAAAACGGAGATTTTTAACTCAAACCGTTGCAGTCTGTCAGTCCTATAATGTCAGTGGATGGGAATCACGGCTTTGAGAGTCAAAAAAACATACACAAACAAAATCCAATTAAATCCTGTGGCTTGTGACGATACATTGATGTGTAAAGACACGAAACGATCAGTCTGTGCAAGAAACTGAACAGTATTTATATAGTTTTTTTACCTCTGATTTTCACCGCAATGTCCGAACTGTCCTGAGCGCGTTCGCGTCTTCTTCTTCAGCCGGCGCATGAGGCGTCTTCTTCTTTGTCTTCTTCTTGCTTTACGGCGGATCGCAGACTTATAAGTGCATTACCGCCACCTATCTCTCAAATGGACCATTGACACTCTATCTACAATCTCAATTGGGAGTGTCAATGGTCCATTTGAGAGATAGGTGGTGGTTTGAATGTGCTCCCATCATGCTGTCTATGTATTTACAAGAATGCACCCTAAATAGTATGTTTCTTCACCTTTCTTGGGTTTTGCTTCTCCTAAAGTCATCAAAGTAACCTTCACGATCGGTCTACTATATACTATAAACTTTGATGAAAAGAATGCAGTATCTGTTTCAGAAAGGTTTTTCACGGGTTTCATGCCAGTCACGTCCTTTGACCCTGGGAGTGAATACATCTGTGGTACATTTTGTATCTGTCTACTGTAACTTGATGCTGTGTGTTTTATGAGTTTAGAGTTGTATTCTTATTGAGCCAAAGGGGATTTATGTAACGTGTTCGTTCCGACCCTAATCATAGCATCTGCATACATGCATTAATAGAATTTATGAAATGTCGTACTTTGTGCAGAGATGTTCTGGAAACAAAGGAGCCAAGCTGAATTATATGAGAGCCAGCCTAATTGAGTTCAGCTCCTTTGGTCAGTGTCAAGGTTGCGCGCACGTGACTGAATTTACCGTCGGGTCGGTGGGGCACACGTGACTACACATACAATTGACGTTTCGTTTATTCATGCAAATCCATCAAAGGGAAACTAAATATTCTTACACTTGCTCCCAGAATCCTTTAAAGTACATGGACGTGAAAACCAAATCAATGATATGGATGTATGAAGACATGGAGGGAGAGGATGAGGGTGAAGATGATGTCGTCATTGTTGAGATCTGAATAGCCCTGTGCTGATGTAAATGAAGAAGGAAGCCTGTATGAAAAGTAGCGTGAGCTTTTGCATATGCATCAATGCAGATCAAAGGCTTGTCAGGGGTCATACATTTACATAGAGATATCAGTGATGCTATGGGAACCCAGGAAAACGGGTGCTCAGTCCACTTATGAATAGAGAGCCCTGACCGGGTCCTTCAGCGCCATTAGAAAAGAAGTCAAGGAAGTTTATTTGGCCACTCGCCCCATCTGAGGGGAAATGATGTTCTTCAGGGTTGGGTTAGGTAACTGTCAAAGAAAAGATGACATTTTGGTGAGAGATGATGACTTCCTGGAGCATTTTGTGTGTTGTGGCTGATTTGATGAATTGATGTTGAACGATGAAAAATGTGTTTCTGATTGTTTGATATGGTTCAAACATTTTTAAAGATTTCATTTTTTCTTTTCTTTGTGCTTTTATGTTGTGAAGTCTTGTTTATTTATTTTATTTTCATTTCTTACAGGAAGACTGCAAAAAGTAAAGCTTTCTCTGCTGTCCAGTCAAAGGGTAAGACCTCTGTACAAATGACTAAAGCTTGTTAAAAACATGCGGTGTCTGGTGTTAAATGCAGATGCCAGCTCATTGTGCACATATCTCTTTATTGTACTGCTTATGTTCCACAATTAAAATACACTAGTACTCAAAACACTACCAGTCAGAAGTTTGGAATAATTAAGCGTTTTAAATGTTTCTGAAAGAAGTCTCTTATGCTCACTTAGACTGCGTTTATTTAATCAATAATACAGTAAAAACAGTAATATTGTAAGATATTATAAAAATTTAAAAGAGCTGTTTACTATTTTGAATATATTTTAAAGGGGTCATATAATGTTGCTAAAAAGAACATTATTTGGTGTAATGAAATTTTTATGCTGTTTGAGGTTCAAAAAACACATTATTTTCCACATACTGTACATTATTGTTTCTCCTCTATGCCCCGCCTTTCTGAAACGCGTCGATTTTTACAAAGCTCATCGGTCTGAAAAGTGAGGTGTGCTCTGATTGGCCAGCTATCCAGTGCGTTGTGATTGGCCGAATACCTCAAGCGTGTGACGGAAATGTTACGCCCCTTACCATACTGTGATGCTGTGTCCGGCCGGAGCGACAAGACAAAAACATTAAAACCTGTGAAACGGTGAAAAAACGGTGAAAGGCGAAGTTGATGTATTTCCTCAGCGACCAGCACAGATCAGCTCCAGGCATGACGAAGCGGATATAGTCCTCTTTTGGAAGACCAAACAAAGTAGTTTCGCTTTCACAACGAAAAACACAGCGCCTTATCGACATGCAACAACAACAAATACTACAGCGAGAATAAAAGTTACGCCTTCTTTCTTTGCGTGAACATTTGGGCGGTGTTATTCAAATCTTCCCACATCGTGACGTAGACATGTCGGGGCGTGTTAGAACGAGCCGTTTTAGGTAGGCGTGGTTAACTCTTAACTTTTATAAAGAATATCTCTTTGGATTTGAGACTTTAGTCTTTGCAACTTTACAGATCTTCTTTATGCACCAAGAGCTTGTAACACTCCAAAGAGAAAGGAAAATTTTAAATCGCATCATATGACCCCTTTAAAAATGTAAGATGAATTTTCAGCAGCCATTACTCTTTAGTCTTTTCACCTTCAGAAAACATTATTATTAATGTTTCTTATTATTATCCATATTGAAAACAGTTTTTGCTGCTTAATACTTTTTTTTTGTGGAAACTGTGATACTTTTATTTCAGGATTCTTTAATGAAATGAACAACATGTACTTGAAATAGAAATCCTTTTTAACATTATGAATTCATTCAAAGGTTTGGGGTGTCATGGTTTCCACAAAAATATGAAGCAGCGCAACTGTTTTCAACTTTGATGATAATAATAAATGTTTCTTGAGCAGCAAATCAGCATATTAGAATGATTTCTGAAGATCATGTGACACTGAAGACTGGAGTAATGATGCTGAAAATTCAGCTTTGATCAGCAATTACATTTTAAAGATTACAATTGAAAACAGGCATTTTAAATTCTAATAACATTTAACAATTACTGCTTTTACTGGATTTGTATGTATGTATGTTGTATGTATGCATTTATTTTTCTCTGGAATCATTTTTTATGTTTTTTACTTTCATCATTTTATATCATGTTCATGGGCTAATTTATCTCTGCCCCTTATTGCAACAGAATGTTAATGGTGTACGGATATATTTTTGATTGCAGCATTTTGGGGAGAATCAGATGACAGCAATTCTGAGATCGAAATGGCCTTGCGTCCTCAGTCCCGCAACACCAGCAGCCATGACTTTGATGATTTTTATGATTAACATTTCTCTTTTGAGACTTTTTTTATTTAATTGTTTCAATGAGAAGTTAATATGTTTGAAAGAGATGCCTTTATACGATTGCAAAACAAACAAAAATCTTCAGCGAGGAATGAGTGCGACATTCCACGAAAACAAAAAAACAGCCATCCTCTTTATTGTGGCCAAAGACTGTGAAGGGTTTTCAAAACATGCTGGTGTTAACCCTGCTTGAATCTCTTTAGCTGAAAAACACTTGGACCTGGTTGAAACAGATTAAACTTGGTTTTTAAAGTGATTCCTTTGCACTGTGTTGAATATTACGCATTTTAGATGCTGCAGGTATCTGGCGGTGATTTGGAGTGGAATGCTCTGAGTCAACTCCTATGAAAAGCCAGTGCACAATGGCCACTCTGCATGCTGCTGAAACACCTTTGAACTCACTCAAGTACCCCTGGCCCATTTAGGAGGACAAAATACATTGTGCTCATCTCAATATAGAAACAAACGCTCTCTGTATTTGCGGCGTTAGAAAAGCGATTCCGTCAGCCGAACAAACGGTTTTCGTTTCGAACGGTTTCTCCTCAACCGACGAAATGCAAGGTGCAATGTCCACTTCAGAATTCGTCTGTTTTGCAAATGTGCACACATTTTTATGCTCTCTGGCTGATTCTTGTGGGATTTCAAGTTACATTTTATACATTTGTACAGAGTTACTGTACAAAATGTGACGTGCTTGCTTCAATTCATTGTTATAATATGCCCCTCTAATGGCTATTTTTAGACACCACATGATAGTTAAAATTACAGATAATTATAATTAGGCATTGAAAAGAGCACTGATCAAACACAGCAATATCATTACAGTAATAATGGTTATTTTTCCAAAACAGCCAATCAGTGATAACGACAGTAACCCTTTTCCTAATGGACCTGAAAATAACATTGCGCACTAAAATTGCTGTGCATGGATTTCCAGAACTGTTTCCCAGCCATCAATAATCTACATCGCCCGTGACGGGGGATTGTCATTTTGTCTGTGACTCCGAGTTCATTTGGTTTCATCATATTTAACATGCACGGAGGCATGTTATTCTGTAATGATACCAAACCTGCAGCATTCTATCCATCAGTATGATTCCATTAGTTAGCTTTTAAGTAACTTTATGAGGCCGAACCTGCTAGAGTAGGACTCCACACTCATTAGCTGTAATGGCTGCAGCCAGCCTTGACCCGCACGCGTCGAAACGCGCCTGCATAATTTGGAGATTGCTAAAAAGCTCCCCTCACATAATATCTGTGTTAAGGATCATGTCAACAGATACTTGTGTGATGGAGGAAGCTCTGTGAGAGAGTTACATTGTGCCGGCCTGTAACAACACCATAAACGCTTTTTAAAGGAACCGCCTTCTGGACGTGCTAATAAAAAAGTGTCAAACCCGGAGTGCGACTTTCAAATGATGTCACATCAAAACAGAGAAAATATTTTGCTTAAAATGAAACCATGCCAAGATTTCTTTTGCAAAAATGTGTGTACGGCGCCACTTTATAAGCATGCATGATGGTCTCCCAGCAGGGAAGGTCATTAAAGCATTCAGATTCAAAGACATTCTCGAATTAAATCATCTGTTTAATGGCATAAAAGTGCCTGATTTCAAGGCTCAGTTAGGATGTCCGTTGCTGAATCTCCATTCATTTGATGAATAAAATCAGTCAAATCTACATGTTTAAGTCTTTTCTTATTTTATTAAGAAAGTCTGTGTTATTATCTAGCTATTATCAGTATTATGCATGGTACGTGTGCAACATAATGTCATGCGGTACATTTCAAACCACTTTTACTCATACCCTACAAAACTGCTTTCTTTAATCTATACTATTATTAATAATAAAGTTATTATTAACAATAATGATTTAGTAGTACTTTTAAAATGGTTGTGCTGCTTAAGTGCGGAGTCTGAGTTTTTATAAATGTCTTACTGCCATTTTTGATTGATGTTATGCATCCTTGCTGAATAAAAGTATCCTTCAAAAAAAGTGTGTGTGTGTG